TTCCTGCATCTGGTCTTATTTTTCTCTGTCAAATCTAGCATGATGAATGCTGCTTCCAAATATGGATTTATTGTGGATCATCACAATAATAATGAAGTTCTTCATGATATCTTTGGCTCTTTCCCTTCTGGAGAAAGTTTAACTTTCTCAAGAAGGATGGAAAAAAATAGTGATGTGGTTTTGATATTGGGAGTGATCGTTCAGGCAGATGAATTTAGCAGCTCATCTCACATTTTTATAACCTTTGCAATGAATACTATTTTCATCCCCTATTTGATACTTTAAATAATCCTCATTTTAGACTGCATTGTAGCAGGGATGGGCAATTGTTTTTAACACAGAAGAGCTGAACTTTTGGGGTATGTGTGTGTTTTGAAGGGTGTTCTTTTACACAAAAATAAGTACATTTAGCTTAGCAGAGGTTTCACACACTTATAGTTTGGAGCCTGTTTCCTTTAAAGAAAGAGGAAATGCCATTTTATTACTTAATTTTAATAGTACAATTACAGGTGGGTTTGGGGGCAAAAAAAAAATTTGGCTGACTGTGAGTCTCAGCTTGCCTGTTCCTGACTTAAGTGCTATTTTCTATTTTCAGATTTTAAAACAAACTAGAAAAATGTTAACACCACTTAAAAGATCAATTTAAGATTAAAGTTAATCAGATGATAAAAATGACATTCATTCTAGAGTGAAAATGACATGTTTTATGATTAAATTCAGTTCTTGTATCAATCACTGCCCACATCAAAATTATATCCTATTAAAACACAGAAAAGGCATGGATAGAATATGAAGGAAATTACCCACAGAAAATACAAATATACTCCAACAGTGTTCTGGCTTAAAATGGAAGTACAGTGATGTATTAGTATAGGCACTACCTAGCAGGAAGCAGTACCAAATTTATAGCAGAATAGAATTTAAGTGGGGCTCTGCAAATAGAAGTTTACTTTATTCACTATGGCTTCCAATGAGATCTGTAGAACAAAGTAAAATAACTGGTACATGGGGTAGACTAGTGGGTAGCGGAAGAGAAATTAAGGGGAATACAGTTCTAAAACTTTTTCCAAAAAATGACAATGGGCACTTCTACACAATAATTCTGCACTAGTCTGAAAGCAGCTCTGGACCTAATATGTTTCTACAGGGTCAGCAATGTTGGAGAGCTGACTTGATTATAGTTAAAACTGCTGTTTCAGCTATAAAACACAAGCTAATTTGTGATTTTTTAAAAAGATGTTATGATTTTGTTTCCCCATTCAAGGGAACAGTTGCCTTACTCCTCTGGGCTCTGAGCTTTAGATTCTGTAAAGAAAATGGTATCTTGGCAGACTGGATACACCTTCTATCCAGGAGGCCAAAGTAGCAGGGGTAAAATTGACAGGATTTTTTTCAGTTTCCGCTTTCTCCCTAGTAGCCTGTTTCTTCTTTTTTCTACTTGGGTAGAATGGGAAATGAATTTTATGTCGTTGCTGCAGGACTTGCAACAGTGTGTGTCAGAAAAAAAAATCCTCTTCTTTTTACAGTATTTCTCAGCTGGCAGAAGTAAAAATGATTAAAGAACACCTTCAAATTGCTTCAGAGGATTTGTTGAATGAAAATAGTGATGACATGGAAGTGTCCCATGGGAATTGACAAGGAAATGAAGAGATCATTCTACATTTTACTGATCTTCTAAGGCATTTATGAGCACCAAAATCTGTAAGTTGGCGGGCATGGTGAGTGCATCAATGCATGTCCAAATGGAGACAGGGTTTGCTTGTGACAATGGATCTACCATTTTGCAAGTTTTGACACACACACACACACACACGGTGGATGCCACTGCTATGTTACACATTAATAGAAAATCAGCCTCAGTAGGTGGCAGTACCCAGTCACCTGATCTAAAAAGTTATGAAGGCTCAATCCTGGTTAATATTTGGTACAGCCTGGGAGGTATGTTGGATTAGAGAGCTGAAAAAACATTCTGAGAGAAAACAATGGCAAATCACTTCCATTTCATGCCAAGAAAACTGTAGAGGATATGTCCATGTCTAAGGGTTACTTTTCACTCTGATAAAAAGACTATCAGTTACAAAAACAGTGGACAGATACATATTGTCCCAATGTATTGATTGGTTCAGAGAAGGATACAGATTTAGGAGACGGCCACCCGCAAACTTCCCCTTTATGAAAAGAACTGTCTCCTCAACTGTGTACAACAAAACTGTTACAAAAAATGAAGAAACCTCCACCCTAATGCATTGGGGGATAAATTGGTTCTAAACTGGAAGTACTGCATTTGCTGAAATTCTTGTAACCCTATTCCTTTCATCTCAATATATCTAGTTAAGAAAGACTAAGATTCTTACTTGGAAGAATTAGTTCATTTGAGCCAGCTGCCAATAACCTGACACCTGCCTTTCCAAAAGAGGCATGTTTTTGGTTCCATTTATCATAGAAGTTTGTGAAAATAGACCAGGGTGTTGTTGCCAGAAATTACTTATATGTAAGTGTCTCATTTGAAAGTAAGGTACTGTGTGGAATTCTTGTCTTGGGAGCTTTGGGAGATTTGTTCATTAGATTAACTGTTTCAGTCCATACTGGTGGCAGAGAAATGTGACACCATGTGAGTCTCACCATGTGAACTCTACTCAAAGGCAATTTTACTTAATAAAAAATCAAATTTACAAATTTGAAAAAAAATATGGTGTTGTAAAAGTATGGTCGTATTTTGTCAGCTTGTTTAACTTGCTGAAGGCTTCTAAATATTATGCGCAATATTTAGTTGCTACTTTAAAGATTTCTACAAAATCGTGCTATCAATATGCTTATAGATATGGAAATTCCTATTGTTTAAAGAACTCATGTAAATAATTGAAATGAACTCACAGACTGGGTGTCCAATGCTGTTCTGTACGCTGGGTATGACCACAGAGTAGGTAGGTGATCGGAAAGGGTAAATGGTAGTTGGATTTGTAGTAATAATACTCTGAGAAGTCCCAGTAAAGACAGTAGAGGCCGTCATTGGACTTGTAGCTATGATGTTCTGAGTTGTACCCGAGAATACAGTTGAGACTGTCAATGGAAACCTCTTCCTTTTGCCAGGCCTTGGCTGGTAAACCCAACCTGCAGAAATGTTAAAGAGTATGCCAGCTGAAAGATACTGAGTTTTTTTCCTTTTAAAAATTCTTACCTAATGAAGTTATGTGTTGTTAGGGGTAACACAAACTTCTCTCCTGTAAAGTCAGAAGACTGTATTTGCAAAAGGACACACACATAAGTACAACATGAATAGGAAGCTGACAATCTCTCAGAGAGAAAGAGAAATACTGTTTCTTTCTGTTTGCAACACCTCTCTTTACCATGAATCTTGGTTCGAACACTAACCAACCTTCGAGTCAGTTTTAAGTCCTGGTGACCAGTTGGACAAGCCCCTGCAATTTTCTTGGCAACATTTTTCAAGTGGTTTGCCTTTGCCTTCTTCTTAGGGGTGAGAGGGAACAACTGCCCCCAAATCACCCAGCTGCTTTGTGCAAGTCTAGAACTCATGCTCAGTGTCTTTAATCACTACACCAAACTGGCTGTCATGCCATCAATATTATTACCCAATTATTGATTTTGATATAATTTTACAATCAGGACAGAATATCAACTTTGTTAAATAAATATTATTATTTCTGCTAATACCATATAGAGATAATGCCTTTCTTATTCTATTATTCATTCTATTTGCTTTAATATTACAGAATTTAGCATAAGATTATTTTTAAATAAGTATATAAAATCAGAACTCTGGAAATTATTATATTATCTGAATTGTATTTCATTGGGAATATGGAAACAAAGACATGTGATGAGTATATATGTTTAAAGCAGGAACACCAGCAGAAATGGTCAGCTTTAATATAGTTGAGGAAATTAATGTTAAAATATGTCTTTCATTAAGTAAACTTAATTTTTCTCCAGATTTAATTTCAAATAATTAACTAACTGTAAATAAATCAGTGGGAATACACATTCACAAGACAGATGAGGGAAAAGCTACTGCTTTCTTTGATTTTTGTGAGCCGCCCAGAGTCACTGAGAGTCGTGAGACATACAAGTTTAATAAATAATTATTATTATTTCCATATCTTGTAAAAATGGGAAAACCTTATAGTGTTCATATTAGTATAGAGAGGATTGATCTGTATGTGTGGTGGCACAATGCCATAATTCATTTGGCTACCTTATACAATGTCTTTGGGGGAAGATACTGTATACAAGTCAGAAAAAAACTAAGGAATTTGCCTCATTATTTAAACCTGCTAGGTTTTTTTCATATGTACTGTCCCTCCAGGATTCTATTTCCCAAATGAACATATTTAAACACCATCTTCCCATATATGAATCTGTGGATTACACAAAAATTGCCCAATGGTGATCTGATATTTAGAAATGTATAAATAAATCTCTCTCTAGTACCAGGAAATTCTTCTCTGTGTTTTTCTTTTATCTTCTGAGCTTCATCATAATAAGGTTTCTTTTGTTCTTCAGTGAGCTTGTTCCATTCCAATCCAAGCTGGACACTGATCTCGGCATTATTAGCAGCAGGGTTAGCTTTGGCTAAGGCTGGCCGATGAATTCTTGCCCATACCATAAATGCATTCATAGGACGCTTGACATGGCCATCTCTATCTTTGCTGAATGGAGTATCTGGTATCCCTATGATAAAATAATATTAATGTTTAGGTAATATAGAGATGGGTAGAACATACTGCTAATTTCGTGGTATTCTGCGGGCGTCGAATTCTGATCCTAACAGTAATAATAAAATGATTTTCTCCACCTCATTTACTGAAATGTATACAATTTAGCATGAAAGGGCAGTGAACATGGCTTAGTTCTGGCAACAAAAACAAACATCTAGGCTCAAAGACACCCCAATTCTTAATTCTAATTATTATTATGATTATTGCATCTGGCTGTAGTTTATTGATTTGGGGGCCTGGAATAGCACCATTTTTGGGAAGTGTAGTATTATCTTATATAAGGTCAAATTTATACTGACATGTGGGACTAAAATGTCCTGCTGATATAGGCCAGTGAGGATAGTGTAATTTACTTTTCTACTACATAGTGGAACAGGTAGGAGTGTGATTCCTCCTGGAGCCCTTATACACCTTCAGACTCTACACTGATATTTTGGAGAGCTATCTGCCCTAGCCTGGGGACCTCCTTTACGGAGTTGTTAGAAATAGAAGAGGAAAATCCTTTTACACAAGTGTGTTGGATTTTACAATTAATTCTCTAATTATTTCTCACTACTTGCAGCATAGAAAAGGTCAGCAACTACATAAATAATAAGGAAATTTTCTACCTCTTTTGGGTCAATTTGACTTCCATTTTGCCACAGGGTAAACTGTATTTGAAACTGAGTGACGTTTCAGGAGCAATTTTCAAGATAGCATATGGATTAAAAGTTCAAATAAAATTTCCACTGGTACAAGACTTTTGCATGAATTTCTTGAACCTAACTAGACACTGGGGATCAGTAACCATATGCCTAGTAGTAAAAGCAATAAACAAGCAAACAAACAAAAGCACAGTCTGCTCCATACACAGTTGTACCAGGTTCCAATTCTAAAAAAAGGGGATTAAATATTTTAATATCCTATATTTATCTCTGTAAATTGCCCTTGGAATTACATCAAGAACAACAGAAGTTTATCCGTGATTTGTCAGAATTAAGTCTCACTGTGTTCATTTAGTGTGTTTAAGAATGTACCCTACATTCCCTTTAATAGGGAACTACAGATTTATTTTTTAATTTATTTAATCAATTTGTATAGCCATCCATCTCAACAAGTGACTCTGGATTAAAAAGAGCAGAGAGCAGATTAGAGATCAACATCTTATCTAATTTGCCTCAGTATACTTTAGAACTTTCAAGATTTTCCCACCCACACAATTCCACAATTTAAGCATGGCTATTGGTGATATTTTATATCTGGATTTTAACTTATAGCAATTAAGCACAATATGCACCCACTAACATTCCTAAATTTTAGGTGAGACTAGAATGAATATTTGGACAACACCATATACTACACTGTTAAGTGAAGTTTTCTTCATCACAGTGGCAATTAAATATTAACATTCAAAATAATTATACTGCAATATAAAATGTTACTATTTTAGTATGAAACTCTCATATAATTCATAAATCATCTTTTTGTAAATTATAGAATATATTATTTCCCTTATATTTAAAAATATTAGCAAATTGCCATAAGAAAGTGTTAAAATGCTATGTCAAAATCCTCCATTTGCCCCAAATAACACTTATTTTTCTTCTTTTACTTAATATATTTGTATGAAATGGCAGAGGATTTTATTTCCATTACAAATTTTACTTTGAAGCATCTTTGGAGCATCTAATATTGCCACACTTTCTAATTTGAAAAAGACCCATGGAAGGACATCTCTTATGACATCTCTCCAAATATTTGTTAGATTTATATCTCATCTTTCCTTCAGGAGCTCAAGGTAGCATATATAGCACTTCATCCTCCAGTTTTTCCCCACAATAACCCTTTGAGGTAGGTTGGGCTGAGAGAGTATACAACTAGCCCAAAGTTACCCAGTGAGCTTTCATGGCTGAGAGTGCACTTAAACTTTGGTCTCTCCAGTGACAG